AGCAGTACAAACAATCGAAATCAAACTTTTGGGTCAATTGTTCATTTTATTCTTTGACTGACCTATAAGAGACTTTTCCCTATTCGTGTATTGTTTATGAAAATGGATCATTAAAAAAACCTTTTAAACAAATGTAGCTCTTTAACCATAATTAAAATCATAAAAAGACGTTTTTTTCTCCCAAAATGATTTTTTTTTGACAAAGGAAAACTTAAGATTATTCTAATTGTCTTAGGATTATTCTAATTGATTTTTTTGACAAGGAAATCTTAAGATTATTCTAATCGAAGATTATTCTAATTCTCCAAGCTGTTCGGTCTTTGGAAAAAGCTAACGGAATATAAACGCTTTGGATGGTTTTATATCAACAATCCGAATAAAATTCAACTGAAATTTTATTTACTCCATAAAATTCTTTTTCACCGACGATCAATTTGTATGAGTACTGGGGTTTGAAAATTGTAAATTTGGCCATTTGAAGTTTGGCTATTTGTTTTCATTTTTTTAAACCAAAAATTGTCGAACAGAGAAACATTTAGTTTAAATTACTTTCTTTTCATCTAAGAAATTTTCAAAAACTGTGGATATAATTATTTTTTCAGACTAGCATATAAGTTTGTAAATTGAGTCATACAAAAACGGGCTTGATATGTTTAATGACACTGAACAAACTGGGTTATTCAAGATTAATAATTAGTTATACAAATATATTAGAAATTTTTTGAAATTTGACATGTTATGGTAACTTATATATTGATATGACTTATACAAAATTAAAACCAAACCTGGGTAACCGCAATTTAGGAATTTTCCGATACAAGCTTTTTGTTTCGACTTTCGAAGAAAGTGAGGGAGTATTTGTGCACGGCTTGGTTTTTTCTCCAGACCAATATCGACTTTTCACTAGCTTTTTTCGAACAAAATGTTGTCTTGAGCTCGAACTTTAAAGAAAATTTTCTTGTAATCATTTTTTGAAAAGTTATGGGGGTTTGAAAACTCTCAGCTTGGCTAGTTTGGGACAATCAACGCCTAAGATATTTCGTGCTATTAACCCCTAAGCGGCATAATCCGCTCAAAATTATTTCAATATAGTAAAAGCAAGTTATTTGATGTTAGTATTACCTTTTTGTTCCGACTTTCGATACGAAAGTAACGGAATATTCGTGCTCGGGGTGGGTTTTTTTTTTCTTCAGACAAATTTCGACTTTTTAACTAGCCATTTTTGACGGCATTCTCTATTTCATTCAAAAGGTATTGTTGTCTTGAGCTTAAATTTGAAAAGATATTTCACAGATGATCATTTTTCGTAAAGTTATGAGGGTTTAAAGATTGCCATTTTGGCCCTTTTGACCAATTTGGGACAATTAACGCGCAATATAATTCGCGCTAATAACGCGTAAGCGAAGATTTAATCCGTTTTATAAATCGTTCCAAATTGGTTGAACGAAGCTTGTTTGCCATAATTGATTTGTTACAAGGAACGAAATCTATCTTTTTGTACTTTATATGGAGTGTGGGGGATGATTTTCATAAGAAAAGTTCAAATTTTAGAAAAAAAATTTCATTTTATTTTATTTCATTTCATTTTTTTGTATTACTGCTGCTGAATAAACTTTAAAAGGCAGTCGGAACATTAAGGGCTTCGCCCTAATACGAGCAGTCTTGTTGAACATTAAAAACATCAGTTTAAGGGAGAAGTTTTCGAAAAATTCCCAAAACAAAATTTTTTTAAAAAATCCAAACTATGTTTCAAAAAATGTTTCAAAGACATTGAAGGGCAGTCGAAACAGTCAGGGCCTCACCTTGACTCAAGCAGTCTTATAATGATTTAGTTGTCGAGTCAAAATTGGTTGAGAAATCTTGCCTTGATTTTTGATTCTGAAAACAATTGCTTTTAGAATTCCAATTAAAAACAAGACTGCTCGTGACAGGGCAAAGTCCTGAATGTTCCGACTGCCTTTTAAGGTTTATTGAGCAGCAGTTATACAAAAAAAATTAAATGAAATAAAATAAAATGAAATTTTTTTTTCTAAAACTTGAAATTTTTTTATGAAAACCATTCCCCCACACGCCATATAAAGTACAAAAAGATAGATTTCGTCGCTCCTTGTAACAAATCAATTATGGCAAATAAAAAAAAAACCCACCCCGAGCACAAACATTTCGTTACTTTTGTATCGAAAGTCGAAACAATTTCAAGGAAACCCATAAAAGTTTTGAACGTGTAAAACAAAATTGAAGCTTTGTAGTGAACGATACCGCGAAAAAAAAGATTAGCAATGAATTTTAAAAAGTTCTTTTTTCTCTGAGACTTTTTTCATTCTTGTGCTGCATTGGCCTTTCTGTCAAACTTTTCACTGGAATACACTGGATTGCGGATTTTGTCTTGTTGCACTACACAGTTGAAGTAGAAAAGATACATGGCTTGAATCAGTAACATGAATAGGTAGCCCTATTTATTATCAAAACTTCCACTAGGATAGTATTAAACTCACTTTTTCCCCAGGTTCTCGACCAAGTGAACAACATCCGACTGATTAATTTGGTCCAACACTCCTTGCAACACAAATGAATTAAATTATCTATAATTAGTTTCTGTCTTCATTTTGCTTTCAGGTTTTACTTTGTATCAACCCTAGAGGTAGAACTGAAATCTTTCATGAATTTTTTCATTGACAAAGTTCAAATAAGATCGTAGAATTCTGAATCATTTTGCGCAACTGCTCTGAATTAAACTTTTAACAGCTCTGCTCTGTTCTGAATTTTCATTACAGTTAAGAAAAATCATTGACACAATATTGAAAAGGTTGATACATAATCCAGGCTGGATAGATAAAATTGAATTTCCCGAAAGCAGAATGATAACTTAATTTGGCTGAATGTCTCTGATTTCAGCCGAAAAATATTTACTTATTTTTGACTGCATGAATGGACAGCTCTTCAGGTTTTTTCTTCTTTTTCTGATTCCTAAAGTACGAAAAAAGACCTATGGAATTCTTAGAAGGTATTGAATGAAAGAAGTAATAAAAACGAGTAATGGTTTACGAATTTAAATTTTTCGGCTGATCAAAGGCTCGAATCTCTAAGGTTATTACGGGCGATGTATTTCCAGCCCCCTCTATTCCTTGATTGGCTAAAAAATCCAAATACATGTTGCATCATGTATCTTTCTAAAAAAATCATCAAAAATCAGAGATTTTCATAAAATTGGCGGCGTATGGACAAACAGGATTATGTTTAAACTTAGTTCTGAAACTTGAAATGTTTTTTTTTTACTTTCTAACTTAAAATTCTAAAGTTTTCTGTATTTTTAGAACTAAAACTATGTTTCAACAAAGCGGGCCGATGGGAGGTGGAAGCCAGATGGATGCTGGCGGAGCCATGCAAGGTCAACAACAGGGTCAAGGTCAAGTACCTGCCACACCAGACATGAAAGAGATGCGATCAGTCGTCCTCACAGGATTCGGAAATCTGTCCAAGGTGAAAGTGTACAAATCCCCGCAGCCCATGGTGGGTCCCGGCGAAGTTCTCATCCGTGTTCAGGCGTGCGGCATGAACTTCAATGACCTTTTGGTGCGACAGGGGGCCACTGATAACCTTCCAAACACGCCACTCATTTTGGGATACGAATGCGCGGGATACGTTGAAGAACTGGGTAATTTATCCATTGTTTAAAACGCACTTAAACCACATTGATTAAACTACACTTTTTCGTAAAATGTGACAAAAAAATTAGGGTGAATTAATTTGAAAAAAAAAACACCGGTCTGGAACACAAAATATTTCCTATCTCGAGAACACCTGGTGATTTTAAATAGTATATTCTCAATTTTGCTGACTGAATACCACGTTTTCTTATCATTTTACGATTATATATGCACATTTTAGAATCTACTCGCACTCAGTAAAAAGAGAAAACAATCAATTATATTATCATTATAATCGTACTTTCAGCAAAATTACAATTAATTATAAGCGCCAATTTCAGGTGTTTAAACGATTTATAGTCCATTTTAATGATAAAATTTTTAGTGACATTTTACAAAATTATAATCAATTATAACTGATTATAGTTTTTCCGAAAATCTCTTGTAATCTCTTGTAATCTATTATAATCCTTTTTTCTATCGAAATATTATTATACAAAAAAATTAATTATAATGGATTATAATTTAGCTATTCTGCATAAAACACTGAAAAAACCAATTTAATTTAAGTTTAAGTTTAAGCTATAAGCAGGGGCGGATTTAGGAGGGGTCGGCCCCCCTCAGGGATTCGACCTCCTGCCGACCCAAAGGTTCCCCCCTTTGGTACTTTTTAAGCAATCCATTTTTGGCCGACGACCCTAAAATTTTTCTACAGGCGCCTTTGGCGCCCATATATACTAACTTTGACGAGGAGCGCGCGCCAAAAAAAAACGCATTTATTTGTCAGAATTTTCAAAAAAGTGCCCAAAACGGCTTTTTTGACCTGTTTTTTCAAAAATTTGCCTGCAGCACAGAAAATTTGGCCAAAACAGCGTCTTTTTAGTGCTTTAGGAGAGCTCGGAAAACCAATTTGGTTGACCTATAAAAAATTTTCAAAATTTTCGAAAAATTTTTGAAAATCCGCCCACCCCCCCTCGAGAAAAACCTAGGCCCCCTGACTATAAGTACAACGATTCAGTTTCTTCTAGTTCGGTAAAGAACTGAAAAGCACAAAAAAACAAAACAAAAATGAATCGAAATCAAACGATGACGTTTTTTTTTTGAATAATCAACTGAAATGCACAAAAAAAAAAATAAAACGAAATGAAGCAATGACGTTCGATGAAAAATAATGGATTATAATCCCTTATAATGGATTATAATCCATTATAATGGATTATAATTCATTAAATTTTGAGAAAAAATTATCGATTATAGTGATTTTTATGTTTTCGAAAAGTAGTAACGTTATAATCCATTTTTAATTGATTATAATCTAATTTTGTCGAAATTTATGGTGACTGACAAGAAAAATCTATTATAATCTATAGTTTCCTCTTTTACTAAGTGCGGGTAAGCAGAAATAGATGTAAAAACCTACATCCAAAGTGTAACAGGCTAAAAATATGTTCATTTGGAAAGCAAACGCTTTTTTATCAACGAAAAAGGGAATCTTTGGAAAATTAGTTTCCAAGTTATATCAACATTGAAAACAAATTTCAAAGGAGCGATTCTTTGTGATCATACTTTGAATAGTGTATATCGCAGCCTCATTCATAATTTAATTTGACCACTCCCCTTTCATTTCAGGCGAGGGCGCAGAGGGATTTCCCAAGGGTGCCCCCGTCATAGCCCTGACTCGGTTTGGCTCCATGGCTGAGTACGTAGTGGCCCCTGTGAACCGCTGTTACCGCATGCCACAAGGAATGAGCTTCGAGGACGGGGCCGCCCTTCTTCTCAACTACGTCACAGCCTATCTGATACTATTTCATGTGGTGTCAATTAAAAAGGACAAAATAGCTCTGATCCATTCGGCCGGAGGTGGGGTCGGCTGTGCGTGTGCCCAGTTGTGTAACCTGCTGGAAAATGTGACCCTAATCGGAACTGCTTCCAAGGAAAAACACACGCAATTGAGGAAAATGGGGCTATATACTTACCTGTTTGACAGGTACCAAGAAGGTACTAACGCATTTTTGAATTAGCTCAGTTATCTTAACTTGTATTTATCCAAAAAAATATTGCCCCCTTTTTAAGAAAATTTGATTTCGAAGTTTTCACGCAAAGTCTATATGGGCTTTTTTCACGCCTAAATCATTTCTTCAAACTTTTTGAAGATGAAATTTGAAATTTTTTTTCGAAAGATGAAGAACGAAAAATAAACTGAGCTGATCAATCGATTTCTTCCGAAGCCACACTGGTTCACGCCGATTGAATTTTTGCCTTCAAAATCAATTTGATGAGTAGAAAACAATTCAAAAGGAAAACACATAAATAAATCAGGCATTTATTCTGCTGTCTTGTCCGGATTTCGTTTTGCTTTCTTCATCTGTTCTTACTCTCAATAGAATGCATTAATAATTGAAGACGAGGCGAAACTTTGAGTCTAGTTTTTTTCTGATTCTTACTCCATCTGAAAGAAGTATTGAAGTATTTTTCCTAAAATCCGAGCGAAGTAGTTTTTTGAAAACGCTTTCAGTTAGTCAAAATTGTTTGAAATATCCCAGCTTGAAAAACATTTTGACGCCCTGAAAAGCTTTTTGTTCATTAAACGTTCAAACACTCCCTCTCTCTTTCTCTCGCTTTCTCTTTTTACAATTATATTTAGAACAAGAATACTGAATAAAAATTATCATCAATAAGAAGCTTATGGTTTTAGAAAACAGCAAATTTTCTGAAAAAATTATACAAAAGATTCATCGCATCTTCTCCACTCCCCTTTGATTTTGTAAACTTCAAAGGTGCAGACTTCTAGTAAGATGATTCGAAGGTTGAAAGTTTGGACGGATTAAGGGCAAGATCAGGAAGAAGTTTTAAATGATTATTTCTGAAACTCCTCTTTTCTATGAACTTTCCAAATGTTTCCATTTGATTTTTCAGATGATATTGAACCTGAGTTAGGACCGACGTGGTTAACTCATAGAGTAATTTCGGATAGGGTACACCGTCTGCTCGTCACGCTATCTTATTTTCGGCCGGATAGATTCGTGCAACTTCTTAGTCTAATACCGATCCTAATCTTACTCTTATACTATCTAGTCTCAGGTTGTTTAACTAGTCTCTGCTAGGCTCAATAGATCTAGGGTATACTGGTTTATTGCGGCTGCTGAAGTTCCTTAGGAGAGGCAACTAAATTCTAAGTTAAATTCAAATCTCTCTGGTGCTGAAGTTACAAGTAATTTCAGCACTTACAAATAAGTGGGTTGTTAGTTAGATGGATCATGATTGGTTAATATTAAATACTTTACAGTGGTAAAATATCTAATTTATCCAATCATAAAATGTAGTTTAGATCAGGTTCCACCCATCCGGGTTTTACAGAGTTTTTTAGAATTGTCCTTCTGCAGTTCAAAGGATGGATGATGGACGTTGGTATTTGGCGAACATCATATTTCTTCTGGGTTCTCTTGTTAGAGAAGTTCCAGGTTCAATCGCTGTGTCTTCTCATGACAACGACTGGGTTTTCGCAACAAACTCAAATCTGATTTCAGAATGGTTGGCTATGACAGGTTTTTCTGTTCCATGTAGAGAACTTCTTTTGTGTTCAACCTAGTCTGGGAATGGCGTGGAGATTGTGCGTGGAGGGGATGCCTGGTTACTCGGATCTGTACGTATACTTGAACATCGAGGTGGTCATTGGTCTAGTTCAATGAAGTCCTTTTCTGCGAAGTCAAGTCGTACTCTAAATCCTTTGAGTTGTGATTGTGGACGGCATATTGATTGTGGTTGGCCATTCTTTTTCGAGTGTAGTGGGGTCCTTTTGTCTTTGGATGTTCGTCTTTGGTGTTGTATGCTGATCTATATACTGCAAGGTATAATTTACATTTTATAAAATTTCTATTAGTTCGGTGTTTTAACTATGATTTTGGTTAGTTGTTTTCACAAAAACTTTTTGTTTTAGTTCGGTTATTTTGAAGAGTTACTCACCCTTGAGTACCTCTTATTAAAAATAGAAGTGTGGTCACAAAGCGTGGATGTAGCGCGGTGGGTTAGGCCGGCTATAGAGCATGCTCAGGACGTCCTCTCTGGTGGGTTAGGCCAGGAGTGGGAGTATGATTTCGTGCGGTTTCTGTGAGAGGTCCTGTTATGTGATAACTTTTTATGTTGGGTTTATTTGTGGTTTTTCTTATGTTTCGTTGGTTGTGTCCTTTTTTCAAAAATCAAATTGTTTTTGGTATGGGTTTGTCTTTCGACTTTTTTGTGTTTTATTATTTCTTTCTTAGACTTTATAATAGTCTTCAAAAGAATAAATTATCCAGTTTTAAACTGGGTTAATCCGGTTTGGGTACCGTTGGTTTCCTTTTCTTAGTCATGCTGTTATTCTATGTGTTGTGGTGTTTAGTAAGCTGCGTTGGTTAGTTTTGTTTAGTATATAATTCCTTTCCAACCGGGTTAAAGGAAAGTTTGAAATTTGTTATTGTGTGTTAGAGTTGTTGTGTGTGAAAGCTTGAAACTGAAATTCATTATTTAAACAATTCTTCGTGGGCGAGCTGTGCGAGTTTGGATAGAATTCTTGTGCGAGTGAATGGAAATATCAAAAGGTTAGTACTGCATTTTCGTCTTATCAATTTACTACATAGAATTTCAATTTTACTGCTAGTTTTGGGGAAAAATTAAGTTACAAATTTTCATCATTATTAGAATTACTGCTTTTAGGGAAATAATTTATAAATTAATTTACTACATTGGTATGAACTTTATTTAATTTAGCTGGTGCAAAAGATTATTAGAGTTTTGAACAATTTGAAGAAGTTTTCTATTTTTTATTTTTCTTTTGTGTATTTTGCAGATGATCGTGAGATGAAGACTAAAAATCAAAATGAGACGTGGATAAAGAATGGTTAGTTTTTTAATTTGAATTTATTAGTTAAGAATATGTATAAATTATACTTACCTGTTAGTCGTCGGGGAAAAAACCATAGGGGAAGATGTCGTGTATTATGTCGGAGTTAGTGAGTAATTTTGCTAGTATGCGAATGATGTTTTTAGTTTGAAGCAGTGGCCAAAGCAATTGAAGTGCTTTAATGGTTTTTAGTTCTTCAGTGCCAACTGCAAAATCATAAGGTGTGTTTTGGATGAGATTATATAATTTGTGATTGTATTTAGTGTTGTGGATGAATTCTAATATTGGGAGTTCTATAGGTTGAATAAATTCATGTGGGATAAGGAAAGGTCTGGATTCTTTTGCGTTGAAGGTCTTCGTGATGGGACAAAAAATATACATTTGGGTTATGGGATCATAATTGCGAAGAATACCGTGAAGGTTAGTATCTTTGATGCAATATGTGAAGTTAAGAAAAAATGGTGAAGTGTACTTAGAGTTAATAAATTGAAAACGGTGGTGTGGTTGTCCTGATGGAGTGTGTAGATCAAAGTGATTTTGTATGAAGCGATAATATGTATATGTGTGGGTTTGTTTAGTGCGTAACATAATGTCGTGTGAGCAGTGCAAATCTCGTTCATGTGGTGCAAGGAAATGAAAGGTTAGTGAAAATAATTGAAATTTTTCTTTAAAACTTTCGTAAGCTTGTGTGTCGGTTAGTGCTTCAGAAATGATGTGATCGAATTTGCGATCAAATATATTGATTGTAAATACATATGGTGTTTTGATGAAGAATTTTTCTGTGATTTGTGGGTTAGCGAAACGGTCATCATCTAAAAATTGGTCTTGGTTAGCTCGGATGATGTTATGATCGTAATATTCTAGCGTGTATTCGTTAGCTCGGGGTGCAGTGTGTGTTTTTAGTGACTTTTTATATCCTATATAAGTAAATTGTCTATGTGTTAGTGATGTGATGAGTCGATATAGCATATCTTGATTTCTATTTATATCGATGTGAGTATTAGATAAAGGTAGGCAAAGGGGGTTAGTAAAATGATAATATGATGTCCAATGAAGTGTAGGCATTAAAACTTGTTCATCTACAAAACTACGTGTGTCGTTAGTGTTGTTAGGAGTGTTCAAAGTATATTGTGGAAATCAAGGTAAGGTGATTGCTAAAAAATCTTTCGTGTTAGTGTGATTTGGATGGTTAACATATTCACGGGCTGTTCCTGGTTTTGTTGGGAATGGATGGTTCGGGAATTTTCTTTTGAAAGTGCGATAAGCTCTATTAGTGCTATTTGATGATTCGGTGGATGTGGATGATGGTGCTAATGATGCGGTATAAGCTGAAGAGGGTGTAGCGGTAGGTGGGTTTGATGATTCTATTGTGGATGAAATCTGATTTATAGTGGGGTTTTCAAGGTGGAAGGGTTGTTGTTGTAGGGTGATAAAATTATCTAGTTCCTGGGAGATTTGGGGAGTATCTGGAGAATTGGATGATCGGTCTGAATGAAATGAAGAGTAGGTTGAGGTGACTTGTGAAGCATAAGAGGGTGTAGAAATGGATGGGAGTGGGTTATTTGGTGGGATTGGTTGAAAAGGGGGTTTTGAAAAAACTGAGTAGTTGGTTTGAAAATTATTGGATGGAGATGGTTCAGAGTCTGCAAATTCATCAGGGGTTTCGATATTTGGGTTATTGAGTTGTGAAATGGAGTATAAAACTGAGATATGTGAGTTGGTGTCTGAATTCATGCCTGATGTTACATTATTGGTTGGGAAATCGGGTGGCGGGAAAGCAAAAAGTGGAATTATTGTAATTGGAGTGTTGAGGTTGGTTGGGTGGGAATTTGAGCGGTGTAGGGATCCAAGTTGTCGGCTCATCGTGGGCTAAAAAAATTATTATTTTGAGACTGAAAAGCGGTGGTATGGGGTTGTTCTATAATTTGTTCATATGTATTTTCATCTAGTGATTGGTGTGTCATTATATGTTGAATTGGACTTTGTGATATGGTTGGTCTAAAATTTGAATTATGTGTTATTGCTAAATTTCGAAAATTTCGTGGGACTAGGGATAATGGATGGTTATGTGGTAGGGGTGGTAACTGTGGTGCTGTGGGCGTTATTTCTACATTGTTAT